AATATGGACAGCTCTCCTAGCAGCTCCATGCAAAACCAAAATCGAGATCTGCACCGATAGTGCAGCAGCAATACAGGTAGTACAAGCAAGCCAAAAAGAGGGAGGAGCTTCTGAGTTATTGAAGAGAAAAAACCTTTGTCTTCTGGAGCAAATACAGCGAACGATTGATCTAAAAGAGCTTAAAATCCGTTTCAAAAAAGTTAAGGCACATAGTGGAGTTAAAAAAAATGAAGAAGTGGATAAGCTTGCAAAAAAGATGCTCTAAGTACAGAAATAATTAACCCAAGATAGCCATGGAACAAACATGCAATAACAGAGTTAAGATAGAAAGATTTAAAAGTAGATGACTCAACAAGAAGCTTTATCACACGACTAACAGAGGCCACTACCGATACTAAGTAGAAAAATTTAAAAAGTATAATTAAATAGGTTGAGGCGGAGCAAGAAACAGAAGCAATCATATGGAGTGAAGTATAGAAAGACATAGGGCAAGTACAAGAAAGAAACTGCAGAAGCACAGCTCAAAATAAAGAATGGGTCTTCAAGATAAAGTGTCTAAATGGCCTGCTCCTGACAATGCAAGTCCTAAACATAAAAAAGGCAGAACTATACCTGGACGATACGTGTAAGATTTGCTAGCAAGAAGCTAAGACACAAGATCACCTTACTGCATGCTCAGAACTTCAGAAAATGTGGTGCATCTTAGAAAAATGATATAATACTCTTACCCTTAAATACACTTTCTAATAAATTCTTACAAGGTATATTAGGAAAAGAAAAGGCTATAGATTGGGAACTTGGATATGCAATGACCATTTATATCAGTCAGAGAATAACACTTAAAGCTTCGCAACGCATTTGGGTTATTAATAAAAATTTAGCCTGGGACAATCTAATTTATCTCGCAGTTGGTCATGTAAAATATTTGAGCCAACTTATTTGGATTAAAGATCTCTCATTACCTCCTGAGATTAAAGATGCAAAAAATAAAAAAGCTATCAAACATTTATTAAGACCATTTATTTTTGAAAAACTTGTAGGATATATGGATCAAGATAAGAAAAAAGGTCATGAATTTAACTTATCTGTTGATTATATCCTTGTATTAAAAGATTTGCAAAAAAATAAATGTGAATTATGCTTCAATGAAATGTTGTGGGAATAGGATAAAGCTAGAAATCCCAATCAATAGACAGTGGATTGAATTAATAATAAATTAGGTCATATTGAAGGAAATGTAAATTTTGTCTGTCTTGAATGCAATCAGAATCATCAAGTCTAACTTACTTAATAAAACCAGAGTATTAGCAATTATGTAAGTATAATATAGGATAGCCAAGTGATAGTATCCAAGATATGTTTTTTTTTTTGTTTAAACTTATTTTTATTACTTCTAATGCCTTGTATAGTAATTTTTTTACTTGTATTATACTTATATTTTTAAAGTTTTTTTTTTTTTTTTTTAAGCGATCCTGCCTTTATTTATGTGAACTGCTATAAAATTTATATACAATATACTAAATTTTTACAACTTATTGCTCTAACTCAATAAAAACTCACCAGGTTGAAAACCCAATACAACCTGCTATAACAACTGTTTACCTCTCTCGGGATCCTTAACCTACTAAGGATTTCATACCATAACTAATACCTCCCTTGATCATAAGTAGGCCGTCATATGCTTTGTCAGAAATGCCTAATAATTTTGTCGAATTTTAACTAGTAAGAACCATGTTGGCTTCTTACCCCATAAGGCCCAATCTTCAATTATTTTGTCTCTTTCCTTCAATACCTCTAACTTTTCCCTCCTCTTTTTGCCATCGCTTTCT